AGTGACCATCAAGAGTAATGTTTATTTCATCGACTTTCCTTCCACCTTTGGGTATTATTGCATCTGTTGTCAAGACTGTCAATGACTCCAATTTTTTAGGTAACTTTTTATAATATTGAGTAAGTACTTTGATAGTGTCGAGGAGTAGTTCTTTCTAAATCCGATTGCCTAGTACTTAATCCTCCCTTGCCGAGGACGCTTATCAGACAAATAGGTCTGTATGTAGCTTTTTCGTCGAGTGATTTTTTTCGATTTATCTACATGGTTCAAGAAATTATTTTTCCAAATTTCGAGGAAGCCATTTAAATTTAATATGTTCATGATAATATCCAACCACCGAGTTGTTATCCAGTTTGATCTTAGTGGTGCTTTGTGCGAGTCATTTTTCATTCACTCTACGCAGGTCAATAAGTCCATCGCGTAATTTTTCTTGAAAAGTTCATGCATAAGTACGCCGCGGTATTTTTCCAAATTTGTTTTGCCATTTTTGCATCATTTGTCTAGAGATTTTTAGCTTGCGATTTTCACCCCGGTACGGCCCCTATGGGTTTTCTAGTACATTGTCGGGATGACCGGTGATTTATTATCGCGGATGGTGGCGTTCGAATGAAGAACAGCCTAGAAGCGGTTCTGCACAAATCACGATGGCGCTCCAGAACGACTCGAATCAGCCATCGCGAACTCTCCAGAAGGAACGCGTGGCTGTTTAAATAGGAATCACCGTTTAGTTTTTAATCGAGCCCAAAGTCCAAGAGTCACGCCCAGATTGTGAATTGGCTGCCGGACAGAAGTATTTGCTGTTACATTTTCGCTGTATGGTTAGTCGTGTAATTTGTACTGAGAAATAAATTGTTGAGAACCTATTTAATTTCCATAAAGCGTAACCAATTTTATGGTACGGGTTTCTTCGTTTTCAAATTTTCGGGGATCATATTTTTGTATTTATATACGACGTTCGCTTTTTCTTAGGAGAGTGGGCGAGCGTCCATTATTTACGACCGACAGATTCATCGAATATGCCCATTCCAGTAACGTTCTAACTTTTAAAAATCTGTTATGTTCGTTACGATGATTTTTTTTTCCTTTTACTTAGGTCCTGAATGAATGATTCCACAGTGACATTAGGGCTAATAGACAGTAAAATTTTGCCTGTATCTACGTAAAGAATTTTTCTCCTTCGTAACGATAAGTATATTGGATTTCCCTTGTTAATATGTATATAATTATGCTACCATTTATCTCATTATTTATGTAAGTGGTCCTCTTTTTTTTCGCCATTTTTTCATTTGGTTCGCTGGGCACTATTAAGTCTGCATTTTCTCGTTTAGCCGTTGCAATTGCAAGGTCTTGCGTACATTTGGTCCGGTTTAGATTTATTTGTAATATTTTGATTCGTCCTGATCAGACCGCGTTAATCCACTCTCCCTTAGCCTCCAACCCATCGGTACCACCTTACGGCATTTCTTCGATGAGCAGGATGCTGCGTCCTCCTTTCCTATGCTCCTGTCTCAGTTCCCAGTTCCATTTATGTCCGTCTCCGTCCTGCCTTTTCTCTTCTTCTTTCCTCCTCTTCACGGTCCTTTATTACTTCCTCTATACATCCGGTTACTTTTTCCAGTTCTCGGTGGTTTCCATCATTTTTTTTTTTATTACTCTACCCGGCGTCATAGGCGCTTCCAGATCTTCCTCCACACCTCTGCGCTTTCCTTCATTTTTTTCGCAGAAGAATATCGCGTGCTCCACTGTGTCCTGTTCGTACCCACAACCACAACATCTCGCGTTTTCCGCCTTGCCCTATTCTTTCTGTATATTTACCAAACGCCCCTGTGTTAACCTAAATGTGATTTCCCCCTCTTTTCTATTGACCAATTCCCTAACGTCAGGAATTAATTCCTTGGTCCATTCTGTCTTTCCCGTTTCCTGTTCCCATTTCTTCTGCCATTTATCGAACTGATATTTCCTGTCTCCTTTCTTGCCATTCCATATCTATATCTATCCATTCCTTCTTCCACCCAACATTTTATTGGCATCATTCCAGCAATTACATATAGTGCCTCTGTCGATATCGTCCTGTAGGCCATATTTATTCGTTTCAGTAACTTTCTTATGGTCTTTTTCACCTTCTCTCTGCAGCTTTTGTAATCAATTGCCTTCCCCCATACCTCTGCTCCCTATAGTAAGTATAATCGAGAAGCCTGTCTCATAATCCTTCTTTTCTTACTTCCTGGTTCTCCTATATTAGGCATGAGCCTTCCCAACTCCACTATGAGATTGTCTATTTTCCCGATAGTCTCCCATAGATATTTTTGAACGTTAATTTTGCGTCGATTGTTACGCTTACGTATTTTATCGATTCTTTTATTCACATTTCTTTCCCTTTTATTCGGATCTGGTCCGGCTCTTCCTGCATTCTTCCAGTAACTACTATAGCTTCGGATTTATCCGTGCTTTAACACTTCGGATTTATCCGGAGCTATTTCCAGTCCCATTTGTTCCATTTTGTCATTGATTCTTGACAATTGTCAGTTCACTTTCCTTTGTACTTTGTTCATTTTCTTATCTGCCACTATTAATACCAGATCATCGGCATATGCGATGATCGTTAAATTTGGACCCATGTCCATTCGCAATATCCAATCATAAACGATGTTCTATATAAGTGGCCCCATTATCGATCATTGGGGTACTTCGCAACTTATCCCCATCTTCTGTCCGTAACTCCCTGTTGCGGTCCATGCTATGGTGTTAAACTCATTTCGGACGTCGAGCGCCCCCACCACACATTTCTCCTTGGTTTGCCTTGAACCACCTTTGATCATCCCGATTAGCTGCATTACCCTCTCTGTGGCCTCTATGGTAGATTTCCCTGCTGTGAAACCATACTGGTTACCTGACAGATCACCTTTCAGGGCTGGATGCTGTTTAATTCTTTTCGCCAATAGGCGTTCGTAGATCTTTCCCGCCACATCTAGGAGGCTAATGGGTCTAAAGCAACTGGACGAGTTTCTCTGCTTCCCCGGTTTCCTTATTAATACCACCCTTGTCTTTTTCCTCTTCTTCGGAAAACACTTCTTTACCAGACAATTGTATATGCTCAGGACCTGTTGCGGGCAGGTTTCCCACATGTCTTTCCACATTTCGGCCGTCGGTCCGTCCATGCCGGGCGCCTTCCCCTTCTTCATTTCCTAGACATTTTCTTTCAATTCTTCCAACTCGAAAGGTGGGGTTTCCGCGTCTATTATTTCCTTCCATCTAATGTCCATCATTTCCAACTTCTCTGGTGGGGTTAGTTTTAACTGCTTTATTACAATTTCGTACCCTTTGCCCTATTGGTCTTCTTCCAGCTGATTTATTACCTCCGTCCATTTTTTTCTTTTGGATCTCAGTATTTCTACTTTTAACTTTTTCCTTCTCTCTTTGTACTCTTTACCCGCCATCCGAAGCTCGTCACCGTGTTCCGTCTTCTTCTGTTTCCCTTATAAACGTGTAATTTTCGTCTTACTCTTTAAACATTGTTTCCGCAATTCGGCCAGTTTCTCATTCTACCAATACATGGGTCGTTTTGTCGTCCTATTCTTGCTCCCGGGCGCAATTCCTTCACAAATCTTCCTTATCTCTTCCACTTTTTCCCATTTCCACACCTTTGTGTTTTCTTCTCCAAGTGCTTTAACAAGTGTCTCTTCTGGTTCGGTGTATCTTCGTTGGTTTAAACTTCGAAGCTTATCATCTAGTGATCGCTTAATGTCTCCTGACCCAATATCTTCCAACCCTATATCTTCTCCGTCATATCCGATGTTGCTAAGGCTAAGTCTACGATCGATGACCTGACCTGACCCGACCCGACTCGACCCAACATGACCCGACTTGATCCGATTTGATCCGATTTGAGCGGACTTGATCCGACCTGACCTAATCCAACTATGCAATATGATTATTCATATACATATACATTTTAATTTAAGATATTATTTAAAAAAATGACATTGTAAAACTATTATTACGGATTTGTGTACTATTTAATATTTATTTGTACATATTACACTCTTGTAAATTATTCTGTTAATATAACTATAAATTTTTTGGAAAACAAAAAAACGTTCCTAGAATTTAAGTTTTGATAATCAAATTTGATAATACATATATGGTTGAATATTCATTAAATACCAACAGTGGTTAAGATTTACCTAACAATTAACTGAAGTTTATTAACACATTCGTTGCGGGAAATTGATGACGCATTAAATTAAATTCAAATAAATGTTTATCTGACATTTTTAAAATAAAAATAATCTCCAAAACCGCAATAAACTAATTAATTACAAAGTTGTACTACACGCCGTAAAATTCTTTTATTGCCTAATAAATTAAGCGTGTTCGCACTGCTGCATTAAAAACAACAATATCTCCTTTATCATCCAAATAAACAAATTTTGATCGAGTACGACAATCGCCCCAGATAATCTAATCGTACCCGTTTTCCCGTGATTGTCATTCGAATTTCGTCGATTCTTCAATCATCTGTCTAATCGAGAATTACCGTACAATCGCACTTGATTCCTAAAACAAATAATAATTGCATAATATTCCCTTGGTCTCTGTCGCTACAAGAACAACTGAACATCACACAAATGTCAATTTAGGCGTGCTAGGTCAATTCCGCGAATTAAAGCCAATCAAACAATTGAAATCACCGCCGCATGTGTCTAGATGGATGGGCTTTTAAATTGCCGACATGCAGCACGAACTAGATGGCGCTGGAAAACTGGATACTGTAAGATCACAAGATATATTGTTGCTTCATAAGTTTCCGGATATTTCTGCATTATTAATATGGTACTCTTGGTATTACAGTGAGATAGGTGAAAGATGCCGTCAAATATAATAAAGTCATCAAAATTAATTAAGTTAGATTTTTTTTTTATCATGTAGAAATTTTTATCGTTACCAACATAAATCAACAGCTACCTATGAACTTGTATTTAAATAGTTTCTTGTTGCAGGTGGCCATTAAAATAATAGATAAGACTGCTTTAGATGAAGAAAACTTAACAAAAATATTCAGAGAGACTGCCATTCTGAAGAAATTAAGACATCCACACATTACGAGGCTGTATCAGCTGATGGAAACGAACCAAACTATTTATATGGTAACTGAGTATGCCAGTAACGGGGAAATTTTTGGTAATTTAACCATTTCCATTGTTTAGTCGTCAATTAAATGGTTATTTTTCAGATCATTTGGTGGCAAAAGGCCGAATGCCAGAAGATGAAGCCAAACGGATATTTAGTCAGATAGTGTCGGCCGTAAGCTACTGTCATTCTCAGGGGGTAGTTCATAGAGATTTAAAGGCTGAAAACTTATTGTTGGACCATAATTTAAATATCAAGGTGGAGGTTCTCCTCTTTTGTGTGGTTGTGATTATTTGTAGTGTGTTTAATTGTAGCTTGCCGATTTCGGCTTCAGTAATCAGTTCACAGAGGGTTGTCTTTTGTCAACGTGGTGTGGATCACCGCCTTATGCAGCTCCTGAACTATTTCAAGGCCTCAAGTACGATGGACCTAAAGCCGATATATGGGTGAGTTTACTAACTTGTTGTTGCTACGCGTGTATTATGTGTTGCCTACACACGATCACAGTGATGATAGCGCTCTTGAATATTGTATCAATATTAATGAAACCGTTGCAACTGAATTGCGGTTTTACATAAAATAAATTGCGTTTTGTTGTAGATTAGATTATTATTGCACTAGATTTCGATTTTCGTTTACTTCCCAAATGTTTTAATTTGTTATGTTGGTGAAATTCGTCTGTTATAATTTTTTTTATTAAGTGATGTCGTGAAGTTAGGTTTTTTCAGAATTTTATGGTGTTAACTTTTGAATTACTAATTGCCGTCGAGATGTGTAATAAATCAAGCGCATATGGCAGTTTGCAATATTAATCAGAACGCATTGCGGACTTAATATTTGTGTTTCATTCAGTATGATGGAACGATTTTATATTATTATTTATAACAAATGGATTTTCTTGTGGACTTGTCAGTTGAAGCAAAAGTAGAATTTGAATTATTATAACAATTATAATTACTTTAACGTATTTATTTTAATAAATAGGAAATTGGACAATTTTTGCTTTACACGTAAACTAACGTTACGTAATAGTCAGTCCACTGATAAGCAGTTGAATTTGAATTGAGGTGGAATTAAATTTCGAAAAGTTTCAAAGATGCAACTTTATTAAAGTGTTTTAACAGGGCAAAGGCTGCATTTAGTTTTTATATTATAAAATTTTGCTTAGGTACCTAAGCGAATCCTATGCCAGAAAACAGGAAGCAATTTAAATGTTACAGAAGTGCGAATTACGTTACTAGTGATGTTTTTTTTGAGATTCTGATCATTTAAAATTTTATGTTTAAATTGAACTAATGTCATTAAGAGTTTTATCAACTTTTGTTGTACACTAGCTACTTTTCGTGTAGTGATTGAGCTGCTGCTATCTTGCTTCTTAGATTAAATTAAGTTAGTCGGAACTGACTCGTTTACTTCAATAGAGCTGCTAATACATTAACGTTTCCCAGAATTGATTAGCGCAGTGACAAAACAACTTGTTTGTAAATAGTAAAACGGGAAAAGTGAAATTCAATAATTATGAAAAACCTAAGGAAGAAACTTATTGAGAAGTTTTCCCAGGTATCTTCAAACATCTTCTCATATTGAAACGATGCCAGAAAATGTACGCGGTGACTTGTTTGCCCTAATTGTTGCCAAAAAAGTCTATTTTTTTCCATTTCTATTTTCTTTTTCTTTTCACTTTAGTTGAGTTCTTTCTTCTTTAGTACTTTGACTATTTCGGGCTTCCATGATATTTTGTTGGATTGCTCGTATCTTCGTGGGCATATGATTTTGTTTCTCCACAATGATATCTTTGTTCTGTCCGTCCAACCGAACTATTTTATTTCCTGCGACGCTTTTCATTTTATGGTCGTTTTTTTCTTGTAACTACACCTATAATTTTGTTTATCTTTGTAATTTCTCCATTTTTGCTTCCCGAGCGTAAGCTAAGTAAGTATCGAGTCCATAAGACAAATGTCCACTTTTGTATTTTCTCGACGTTTCAGGACCCCAGAGTGCGAACAAGTAATCTCCCGTTTCCGTATGTCTGTCTGGTCTTTGTATCCATTTTTATTAGACACGTAATCTCAGTAAATCAATATATTTATTTCAATCAGTTATATATACATTTGTACATAATCTGCCGAGTCAATTTTATGACATAGTCACATATATGTCAAACAATTTAATAACTTAGAAATGAAAAATTACAACAATAATACATTGGGATACCATAAAGAAACAATAATATATTAACAATGTAATAACAACACTATATATATGTAATAAGGAAAAAATATCTACAATATTAGTGGAACATTTATATCATTTATGCGTTTCGTAGCAAGCATCGTTACATATTCCTGAATGGAGTAAAATAATTTTCTACTCCTGTTGAATAATGTTGGAATTATTAAACAGTTTTTAGTTGGCAATGGCATTTATTCCTCAGGGGTGACGACACCAGTGAGTAATAGTTTTGAAAGCTTCCTATTGGTTCTTGCCAGTGAGTTTATTACTCACGGGGAGTGTGGCTAAATCATTATTTTCGAAGACTCAAACTACGCGATTAATTAATTGCACGACCACGGGAACGCGGGATAGGAGCTCGCACATCGCGATGCGGCAAACCACCGCGATTGCGATCCGATAATAAGGCAACGGAAGCCTTACGAAGTTGGACGTTAGAAATGGTTTGTAAATCGTAGAAAAAGTATAGTATTCTACTCCCGGGTAATGGTGATTACTCACTCAGATGAATTACACACTCGACATTCGGCTCGGTTGTAAACTCATCTTCGTGAGTAATCTCCTTTATTACCCGCTCATTGAATAATATTATTGTTAATATTATTACATAAATAATCGATGTGAACTTTAAAATTTAAGAAGAAATTTGGTGGAGAATTCTGTTTTGATAGTAATATTATTATTACTTATAAACCTACGATCATTTAAACAGCTGTAACAATTTTAACTCTCGATAAAAACTGTTTTATATTAGTTTATAATTAACAGATTTTTGTTACACCAGTTTATAAATAGTGTTAGAATTTGTTCAACTTCTTTGTTTGAACATTGACTGGAAAGACTATTATTAAACTGTGTATTCCGTTTCTGTTGAATCACTGACGAGAAGTAATTTCCAAAAAAATTAGTAATTTCTTGTTCATCAGAAATAATTTCAGAATTTACCTTTAGATGTTTGATATCAATCTTTTTTTGTTTAGTTCCTAGTGTTTCATGAACAATTTTGGTCATGATTTTGTTTCTCAGTTTGTATTAGGGCAGTAACTTCCCGTTTTAGCTTTTAAATTTATACAGTACATTTAAATTTATATTAGAATTAGAATTACGTATTAAGTTTAGGTCTCTCAAGCCATTAAATTGTTAAAGCTTTTAAAAATGTGAAACCTTCTCGGGGGCGCCAAATGTTTTTTTTAGAATGTGAAACCTTCTCGGGGGTCCCAACGGTCTTTTTTAAAAATGTGGAAACCTTCTCGGGGGCGCCAAATGTCTTTTTTTAGTGAAACCTTCTCAGGGGTCCTAACTGTCTCTTTTAAAAATATAAAACTTTTGGGGGGTGCCAAATGTTTTTTTTTTTAATGTGAAACCTTTTCCGACGTCCCAATTGTCTTTTTTCAAGGATGTGAAACCGTATCGTGGACCTTAAAAGTCTTTTTTTTAAGAATGTGAAACCTTCTGACATTGTCCTCTAATCTTTTTCTGAATTTTCAACATACTGTCATTTTTGAATTTGTAACAATTTTTACTCGCTTTCTTCATTTAAATTTTATAGTCTGTTTGTTTTTTTATGTTGGAACAAAATTTAGGTGGTATAATGTTTGTTTCTATATATTTACAGTGATACTACTTTCCTACTGTATAATCTTAGTGTAATAAATAATAGTTTAAAAAACTAAAAAAACACGCTTTTATTGCTAATCGAACTAAAAACTAGAAAATAATTTTTAATGACAGAGTTTAATATTACAGTAGTAGAAGATCAAACAATCAATCATAATAAATCACCTCAAATTAAAATTATAATAAAATTTAAGTTATTAACAGAATAATTCAATTCAGAGTAAAAAGCGTGGGGTGCATTTTACTGCGGTTCATAACTATCCTCTCATAGATAGTTGCCAATAGAATGATTGTAATATTTAAAATATCAAGCACCCCACGCTTTTTACTCTGAATTGAATTATTCTGTTAATAACTTAAATTTTATTATAATTTTAATTTGAGGTGATTTATTATGATTGATTGTTTGATCTTCTACTACTGTAATATTAAACTCTGTCATTAAAAATTATTTTCTAGTTTTTAGTTCGATTAGCAATAAAAGCGTGTTTTTTTAGTTTTTTAAACTATTATTTATTTTTCATTTTTTAGTCTGCGACAAATTCATAAATTGGGGAATTAATTAAGTACTTATTTAGATTTTTCTAGAAAGAACCACTCAGTGGTCTCCGTATGATCGATCAACGGGAATTAGTTCGAAATCAATCGCCCTCACGGACCAACGGGACACAATTCATCATTGTGGTTAGTTTTACCCCCAAATGGTTAATTTTCCTCCATGTTTGTATTTCTGAATCAAAATTTGTTATCTTTATTTAAGTTGGTGAGAATTCATGATTAGATATGTTTTAATTATAATTAATTCCTTCTTTACCGACTGTAAAACCAAAGCTATGCAGAAATTGTCCTTGAAACAGAAATAATCGGTATAGATCGGTATAATCGACACGGAGAGAGATAACCGTGGTATATACTGACACAATTAAGATGCGATCAGCCATTTTTGCACACGTTTAGTTAATTAAAAGTCCGTTCTTGTTTTTTTCATTTAATATCCGTTATTTGTATTTTAATCAAGACTAATTACAACTAAGAGTAAACCAGATACTACAGGCATGCGCAGATCGCGCGCTAGCTTTATCTCTTTTACTCCACTACACAGGATCCATAAAAGAATTTATAAATCCTGGCGCTCCTAATAAGGATAATGGGAAACTGTTATCAAATTATTGCATTGTCATCGATCCTTGAGACGTGTGCAAAGTTTCAAGATGATCAGACTTTTAGAAACCGATGAAAATTAAGCTCAAAGATTCCGTTACATACAACCCAAGCTAATAAAAGCGTGATAATAACGTGTAATACAAGGATGTTTGATATTTAATACTTTTATTACTGTCATCATCATTGTTAACTGCAAAATAATGTTATTGTAGACGAGATGTTTTTTATCAAGCACTACCATCGGAGCATATTATGGAATCGTAGTCACAAGTAAACTATATTTTGCATAGAATTATTTAGTATGAGAACCCTATGAAGGTATAATTCTCGTCGATAAATCAAAGTTTTAAATGAGGAAAAAAACTATAGTGGGTTTTTGATGTTATTTTAGATTGTATTGCGGAATTGTAACATCTTTGTAGTAAGTATGAAG